ACACACACACATTTTGTACATATGTATGTGTATGTTGTTAATATAATTCATTAACCAGACACAAAGACATACTGAACAATGGTCGAATACATTACTGTACTACTTGGTCTGGTCGTTTGAAATAGACTGATCACCGTGTACCCATTTTGACCAGGCGTGTGTGTACCAAGTGACCCGTCGGTGTCTGTGTGCCCACCAGCTCTTGACTTTGACAAACAAATATATATATAGCATCACGGAATCCTGATATAAATGTCTGTCCGAGTTGTCGCGGTTCACTAGTGTCAGATATAAATGGCGGTGCTTAATATACCGCGTGTCAGTTGGGGCGCCATTGTCTGCTTCTAAATTTGACACTGACTTTAATTAGCTATTTATAACTTCATGTCTTGAGAACTTTTTTGTTACTTTCATGGAAAATTATATTATAAATTTATTTTGTTTTTTACTTCATAAATGACGCATCAGAGTTTAATCTTGTTGATAAGTAAGAAGAAAACATTTACAGTTTGAGTATAACCATAAAAAAATTTCTTATATAAAATCGTAGCATTAGAAGAATTAAATGTGGAAGTCTTGCCTGTAGACCATAATAGAACAGGTTAACGTCTATGAGTTCGGCTCACATTACAACACTATGAGTAGCTACAAAATAACTTACAAAATTTACTAAAAAAAACACATTATGTATTAGCTTTATTATGTAGGTTACTATATACATGTATAGTTTGTCAGTGCTGAGTGAGGATGTTGTTGGTGTTTGTTGACTAGAACATTCCGTGGCTACATATTTTACTGTCACTTAATTTCAACACGTGTGAACTGCTCGTACACTCCCAGCGTAGGCATTAGTGTTCCGACATCTCTTTTTTTTTCTATCAGTGACAATTTTTCTGTCAGTGATGAAGTTGTGAAAAGATATTGTAGACCAGCAGGGAGATAGGTTATAAACAGTGCCGGATTTAGACCTGTGGAGGCCCATGGGCAGCCTCTTTGTGGAGGCCCCCCTCATTATAACTACCCAAGAGGGTGGGGTGGCGAGTGAAGCGAACCTAAACATCTGGGAGTTCCGGGGGGCGCTGTAAGCCCCCCGGGAAAATTTTGAAATTTGAACACTTCTTTGGAGAATTTTGAAGCCATATGCAGTTATGTTGAGGAAATTAGAACATTGAGAAATTTTTAATTAACTGTATATTTATTGATAGAGTACAAATTCCCAACACACACACACACACAAGTGAGACATGACTGGAGTAATTCATGTGGTTTCAAGTCGACCAGCCCTGATATGTGAAGGCCCCCAGATTGTGGAGGCCCCTGAGCAGCTGCCCACTTTGCCCACTCCTGAATCCGGCCCTGGGTATAAAGTCATTTAATGGTTGTACTAGGATGTTAAAGGCTTCATCTCGTCCCTCACTACAGCTTGAGCTCAGAGGATCCAGTTTAATGGTAAGTTAGTGTTGTGGACGAGACTGAGTGGGCGGGTCCTTAACATCATGACTTTTAAAGGGGGTGAGGACTGAAGTGTAACCTAGTGCGCCACCCTTGTGTACTGTAGTGTTGCTCTGATGACCTAGTGCGCCACCCTTGTGTACTGTAGTGTTGCTCTGATGACCTAGTGCGCCACCCTTGTGTACTGTAGTGTTGCTCTGATGACCTAGTGCGCCACCTTTGTGTACTGTAGTGTTGCTCTGATGACCTAGTGCGCCACCCTTGTGTACTGTAGTGTTGCTCTGATGACCTAGTGCGCCACCCTTGTGTACTGTAGTGTTGCTCTGATGACCTAGTGCGCCACCCTTGTGTACTGTAGTGTTGCTCTGATGACCTAGTGCGCCACCCTTGTGTACTGTAGTGTTGCTCTGATGACCTAGTGCGCCACCCTTGTGTACTGTAGTGTTGCTCTGATGACCTAGTGCGCCACCTTTGTGTACTGTAGTGTTGCTCTGATGACCTAGTGCGCCACCCTTGTGTACTGTAGTGTTGCTCTGATGACTTGTTCATAATTGTAAGTTAGTAATAATAATTAATTTATTTCAGAAAAAAATAAATCCATACTTGGGAAACTAACACCGAGGAATAAAGGAAATAAACAAGTACTGATAATTACAAAGTTACCATCAACAGGTGTTCCCAGGTGTCCCTACCACTACCTGCTCCAGCTCAGAGCCAACACGTGTAGAGAGATAACAAATAACTCATAACACCAACTGGCCATTAGGGTGTATGGAGCTCCTTGTGTACAGTAAACACACCTCAGTGTCTTAGTAACAATTGGTGCATTGTTGTTCTCTTCTGTTAACCTGGCCATTGTCTCCGTAGTGCAGTACAGCCACACGCCATTGTCTCCGTAGTGCAGTACACCCACACGCTGTTGTCTCCGTAGTGCAGTACACCCACACGCTGTTGTCTCCGTAGTGCAGTACAGCCACACGCTGTTGTCTCCGTAGTGCAGTACAGCCACACGCCATTGTCTCCGTAGTGCAGTACAGCCACACGCTGTTGTCTCCGTAGTGCAGTACAGCCACACGCTGTTGTCTCCGTAGTGCAGTACAGCCACACGCTGTTGTCTCCGTAGTGCAGTACAGCCACACGCTGTTGTCTCCGTAGTGCAGTACAGCCACACGCTGTTGTCTCCGTAGTGCAGTACAGCCACACGCCATTCAGAGTGCACAGCCACACGCTGTTGTCTCCGTAGTGCAATACAGCCACGCTGTTGTCTCCGTGCAGTACACCCACACGCTGTTGTCTCCGTAGTGCAGTACAGCCACACGCTGTTGTCTCCGTAGTGCAGTACAGCCACACGCTGTTGTCCCGTAGTGCAGTACAGCCACACGCTGTTGTCTCCGTAGTGCAATACAGCCACACGCTGTCTCCGTGCAGTACACCCACACGCTGTTGTCTCCGTAGTGCAGTACAGCCACACGCTGTTGTCTCCGTAGTGCAGTACAGCCACACGCTATTGTCTCCGTAGTGCAGTACAGCCACACGCTGTTGTCTCCGTAGTGCAGTACAGCCACACGCTGTTGTCTCCGTAGTGCAATACAGCCACACGCTGTTGTCTCCGTAGTGCAGCAGTGAAAAAAAAGCAAACCGAAACTTTGGAATTATAGAGCGAGCCTTCGGATACAAAGATAGGGAATACGACTTCAACTTTGTAAATCTCACGTCCGGATTACTGTGTACAGGCGTGGAAACCCTACCTCCAGAAAGACAACATCCCTGGGAAAGGTGCAACACAGAGCGACTAAGATTATTCCAGAACTGCCATCTTGATTACCCATGCAGACTAGGGACCTTCGGACTAGAAACTCTTCAGACAAGACACACTAGGGAAGCTCTCCTACGACATTCAAAATACTGAAGGGGATGGAAAACGTGAAAACTGGCTTCTTCTTTTTTTCGTGATGTCACGCACCACCAAGAAAGGACATAACATAACTACAAGCTCGCCAAGTTATCATGCAGAACGAATATAAGAAAATACTTCTTCACACAGAGGCTGGTACACCTACAGTATGTGGGGGGACGAGAACAGTACAGGGCTTCAAAATAGCTCTTAACAAGACTATCGAGAACAATGGAGGGATCCTACACAAGTCACTGGACTCCTTCCTGGACATGGCCACCTCTAGTAAATAAGGTGTCTTAATACAGGAAGCAGTATGCCGAAGATTTTTACGCGTGATTAATAGAATCCCCCCCAACACTGCCAAGAATTACGCCGTCTTATTTAGTGTATAATAAATCTTCTAAATATCGTGTTCAAGTGAAATTCGTATAATTCTCTCTCAGGATTTGTTACTTTGACTTTCAATACTGCTAATGATGGAAGGAAGTCATACTACAATTGATAGCAAGAAGTTGATCATCAGTGAGAGACACACAGACGTCCGGCCCCCAGTAGATCCTCCAACAAGTGTCAGTAGAAATGACGTCACCTCATATTGAAGGACTCCAGATATTTTCTATATGGAGATTTATCAGTAAAATTGTATTTGCTAGAACATTATCGTGTAAATAACTGAAAAGTAAAAGGAAATATTTAAGATTTTTCATTTACAAAAACTGGAGAAATGCATCATATTATATTAAATAAATCAACAAAAATGTGTTCGAGAAAGTGGCAACGTAGAGACCACACCTCTAATAGTTACCAAGTGTCACAGTTTATCCAATGTTATGCCATGATTATAAAATAACTGTAGATACAAAAAAATATTTCTGTCTTAGTTTACGTATATATTATTATATTAACGCTATTTTAAGAGGTATATGTGAACCTTGAGGTATGTTAACCGTCTTCCAAGTTACGTTAGTCGAGCGAGCTTTTCAATTGTTATCTCACCAAAATTGTGTTCTGAAATGGCTTACCGCTTGTTACAGATCAATCCACTATCTGTGATTTATTTGCTTCTATTCGAGTTAAATGTTTTTCCTTTACATAGACCTAATGCTAAGCCACATTACAGTGTTACACCTTATAATGTTAAACTCAAAAGACTAGACTCGAGTGATGTCTTGTGACGTCATGGTACAATCACATGAAACCTCGACTTTGTTTTTATTCTGGTTATTTTATGTATTAAATATATTTCAAAGAATTAATCGGACTTCAATAATATAATATTTTTTTAAAAGTTTGTATTAATTCTTAAGGGATATATTCCTTGTTTATGGAAACGAACCTAAAAAAAAAATCTTGGGAGAATAAATTTTGATGCTACTATATAGACATTTACTAGGTAATGGGAATGAAGTATTTAACATATTTAGGAATATGTATCAATGTTTAATATATTTTCATACGACATTTCTTTAATATATATGTGAAATATGACATCTCCGTGTTAGAGAGTATTATATTAATATGTCTCATTCTCGTTAATATTGTATCCCTGATAATTAATATCCACTACAAAACCGTAACCATTTATGTAAATTAAAATACATCTTCTTTATTCATTAAATAAAAAAAAGACGATCTGGAGGCCATTTGACGTGTCCGCTCCTGAATTCAGTGTGGTAGTCAAGGATAGTTTAGTTAGGAGGACGGTCTGTAGATCCTAAGTTTATAGTGAAGATGGCTAAGAAGACTTATGACTTGTTATTCAAACTCCTCCTTATAGGTGACTCAGGCGTTGGAAAGACATGCATATTATTCAGATTTTCAGATGACGCCTTCAACACCACATTTATATCAACCATAGGTAAGTATGAGGTAAAATCTAGGCCGTGGTTGACAGCCGTGACCGTCAGCAACTATCATAGACATTTATAGTGGGATATTGTGATAAAGGTTGTATATAGATGTTTAAATATGTGAAAAATACTCACCTGTTATGTCCCGTTATTGAGTATTATATATGTTTTATAGTGAAGGATTGTGTTGGTGATCAGTAGTCTTTTGGTACTAAGGGACATGTCTGACGCTGACTCGGTTTGGTTGTTATAGTTATCAAGAATAGTTTTGTATATTTTAAGGTGTTATATTTTTGTTTGGTTAATTGTAATGTGGGTTATGGGTAACGTGTGGACCAATTTACTGCCCTGGGATATCCCGAGAGAGGGAAGTTTTTCATTAATATCACCATAACCACAAGACATTTAAAAGTGTACAGTATGTAAAACAGTAATATGAAGGAAAGTATATTATTGGTAGTAAACAGTTCACCAGCACCTGTTAATGTTCCAAGGATCAACAGGTTTAAGAATAATGCAGTGTTTTAGAAGCATCATGTTAGCCATTGCTTTGGACCCACTTTTTTCACTACAAATGTGTTTTTATCATTTAAAATAATTTGTAATAGTTTAGGTAAAATACATTTTCAACCAATATGGTCGGAAAAACAGATTGCTCAACTCAAAAACCTAACATAGAATGAATACCTTAATTAACAGTGGAGGGTCCAGGTAATGGCTCAAGAGGCTCGTAACGAGCTGGTGGAGGGTCGTCTGGGCTGCATATTGTTTGAAAATGCAACGATACCATGATCCATGTAAAATAATTTCCCCCCATGCTGCCGTCTACTCATTTGTGAATTTGCGAGGAAGAAAAAAGTAACATTGACACGACTGAAGTGGTTCAGTATGCTGAATATATGTTGCCGCTAGTGTTATACTTGTGAGACTAATGGAAAATAGTTTAATGAAAACTTCACTGGTATTTGTATGATTTGTCTTCCACATATTTTATGGTTAAGTTTATGTTGGCACAGGATATACCTTAGGTATGGCCCCCACATGTGAGACATGAATGTCTATTGGTACGGCAGCCTAATGCACATGCGTGGTAGGCAGTCTATACAATGATAGTTATTAAGATGGCCTTCTTTCTGTCCATTAAGAATACACCATTAATACAGCTGCTGTAGCTATATCCACTATGGTTAATGTTTCTAATGTATTTTTATGTTCTTTAATTATAATTAGATTCATATCTTGTGCAGATATTTAAAAAATGAAGAAAATAAGCTAAGCTAACCAAACAAAACCTTTCCTAACTGAACAAACTAACCTAACCTTCAATATCTTACTGCACCTGTATGTTAGCTGCATCTTTCTTGCTTTTAGACACTGATTATTGTATTAGACACAGATTGGGCTATTTTTTTCTCTCTTGCACCATAGTTTGAGTTTTGCAATAATTCAGTGATGTTTAGAAAATATTCACAATTGTCACACATCCATGTTCAGGAGAGGCTGGACACAACTGAAGCAGTTGGTGGGAAAGATAGGGAATAATACAGTATTGGTTCTTGGCGCTAACTGCTGGAAATAATACAATTTTAGAACCTCCTCAATGCTTATTAGCTAGATCCTCATCAAAGATAGTTCATAGGGCTGAGAAAAGTAACCCTGTTTATTTAAATATAAATACACATCGGCATTACATAATGCTGGGCTTAAATCATATGGTATATTTTAGTAATAGTCAAATACTCTTCCTGTGCAATTGCATTCTATTGTATATCAGTCATAATAAAGATGAGAAAAAATGATGGCAGTAAGATTTGTTCCATAACACATGGCCTTCAGCTGAATTAATATTGTCATGAACAATAAATAGAATTCTTAAACATAAGTATTGTGACGGAGATGTTTTTATACTGTACAGTATTGGTACAGTATTGGCTGTTGATAGGTATGTACTATTTTACATTTCCAAGGATACTGATGGAGTACAGTATTAGTGTGGCAGTAGAAATACCTGTAGTATAAAGGTAAATGTTTTGATTCATGCCCTGGACTTAATATTTGTGTGTTCTTTGGGATTGTCACTTAAGCAATTGTTTTAAGCCTTAGAATCCAAATCAAATTTGCAAGAAAATATTGTCTTAAATGAATATGTACTTAAAAACCATGAATAAACAGTAGCATTGGTGAATAAACGTACACCAGGAATGATTAAGTGACATAATTTACGGTACAGTACTGTATACCATACTAAAGGTAGGCAATTCTTAGTTATTCATATTAAGTCATTCATAATTTTGTAATAGATTTTGTCTTAGAGTTCTAGCACTGGTTTGGTTGTATGTCTGAACCTTTACTAAGTATTTGACGTCACTTATGTTTATAGAGTTCGACGCTGTTATGGCTTGCCTAAGATGGTCTCTCACTAGTGATTTATTCCCTTCTAATGAGACACCACCTTCAATATTTTATTTGGCTAGTACAGTTGACTAAATATGTTTAGAGAGATCTAACAAGTACAGCTCCTCCCCGACTTGCGACGGGGTTAGGGACCCAAATCCAGGTCGTAAGTCGAAATGGTCGTGAGTCGAAAATGCTTAAATAATACATAGAAAATAAAAAATGGGTGTCTTCTCTTCTTCTCAGTACCACAAAACTCTCACTTTTAAGCTTGCCAGCCATTTTAAAGTTGGGACTCGAAAATACGTAATTTGACATAATTTTGGTACGACTGGCAGGTCGTAAGTACAGGTGGTTGTAAGTCGGAGAGGAGCTGTATAGGGTTGGGCAACCCATCTTGTAATAATGTAAAGGTTAGAGGGGGTAGAGAAGGCCTTGTTTGATTGATAGGTGTGGGTATGTCGTGTGTTTTGAAGTGAGTTTTTGCACCGTTTCCAGATCTTTTGCCCTACCCTATACTTGGTTCTCTGCAAATTTATTTGGCCGACTGTACCAGACATACTGGGCATGGGAACGAGATGCCGGGGATAAAATCATGTACATTTAACGTAGAAAAATCAAGTGAAAATCTCTCCATTCTGTTCCTGGAAGGAAATTTTCAGGAGTTTCGAGAGATTGCATCATGTTCTGACACGTCCTCGCGTGCTGGGCACGTGGGTGGTCTAGCTGCTTTGGGTAACTTAAGCCGAAGGCTTGTGTGCTTAGTTCATGTTCGGCTAACATTGTACAGTACAAGGTTATTCCCTTGTTTGCTGCTGTTTTTTTGCATACAATTTGTGTTGTGCGGTACAGTATGGTACCAGGACACAATTAGTCAAGAATACAGTGTTAAAGTAGTGATATGACATAAAAAGTGATTATAGCTATATACTGTACACTGTACTGTACTACATTCAGTAAGTGTGAAAGTACTGTACATAGTCTTGTTTAGTACTGTACAGTTCTGAAGAAAGAGTGGACAGTGTATGCCTACTGTAGGCTAGTGTGTAGAGGTGGATGTACAGTATTGTATACAGCTGCTCCTCGACTTACGACATACTCGACCTACGACCACCCGGACATACGACCGTCTCAGTCGTACCAAAAAATTTTCAAATTATGTATTTTCGAGTCCCAACATTAGTGATTGCGCTGTGTACCGACAAAATTTCCGTTTGTAATTCACTTTAAAATGGCTAACAAGCTTAAAAGTGAGAGTTTTGTGGTGCTGAGAAGAAAGAGACACCCATTGAATTGGGTCCTAAATTAAACGGGGTTTTAAATACAAATCGTTAGTAGAACCATCGTTATCGGAGGCTTTCTTGTATCAAGAATGTGTTATTCAGAGTACAGTACAGTAATATCTCCATTAGCCGGAATCCCTCAAACCCGAAACTCTCCAATAGCCAGAATTTAAATTTTCTCAGAAAATCGTTTGGGAACTAGTTTCCAAGGGGCACATTTTCCAGAAGATTCTGAGAACATTTTCCTGGTACCCAGAAAATTCCGAGGATGGGGGAGGTTTTTTCCAGGTTTGAGAGATGAAAATCAGGCGCATTTTCTGGAAATTCTGAGAAAAATTTTCCGTTACCCAGAAAATTCCGGGGATGAGGGTTTTTTTTCCGGGTTCAAGAGATATTGTAATGGGCAATTTATGGAATTCACGAGAAAATTTTTCCGTTACCCGGAAAATTTCGGGAATGAGGGATTTTTTCCGGCTTTGAGAGAGTCGTCTTGTTACCCGGAAATCTCTCATTCCCGGAAGTGTAGTTATGTTTTGGGTTATTGTGCCCCACATGCCGACCCTTACATTTTGCTATTTTAAAAAGGCATTTGCCACTACAGTACTGCAGTCATTTGAAAGGTTTGTGCAAATATTTTTTCATGGTTGTGATCCCCTCCTGACCTGACACCTTATACAGTACAGCTACTCTTCGACTTACGACCACCCGGACATACGACCGCCTCAGTCGTCCCAAAACTTTGTAAAATTACGTATTTTCAAGTCCCGACATTAGTGATTGCGCTATGTACTGACAAAAGTTTTGTTTGTAATTCACTGGCAAGCTTGTAATGGCTGGCAAGCTTAAAAGTGAGAGTTTTGTGGTGCTTAGAAGAAAAAGGGACCCATTTTAGATTTTCTATGTACAGTGGTCCCTCGGTTAACGAACACAATTCGTTCCAGAAGGTTGATGATGATGATGGGAATTAGAAGTGGGGGTGGAGGAGAAGGGAGAAGAGAAGGAAGTGGGGGTGGAAAAGGAATCACCCCATGCTTCATGCCATCATTTCACCCATAAAATTTGAACTTTACTAGGTTTAATTCAAGATTATTTTCTTTAAATCAATACTGCACTGCACTATATATTGTCAATATGTTAAATAATTTTCAGAATGACCAATAATTGTAATGTAAAAATGTAAAAATAGTTTATGTTCAAGAGAGTCACAAGCAAGATGTTACCTCTACTGACCAGAGAAACAAACTGACGCCTGTTTGGTGAGTTGAGTGGCTATTTGGCACACTAAAAACTAGTTTCCTGTACTTCAATTATGTTAAATAATTGTTAAAATG